GGGGGCAGAAGATGCACAAGGACTCTGAGAAGTTGTATGTGTGTGTTTGTGTAGGTAAGGTGAGAAAGCAGAAAGGAGTGTGATGGGGGCAGCAGATTCTGGTGAAGGGTGGCACCTCTGGCATCCACTGCCCCTGTATGGTTCTGTCTACCACCTATAAAATTAAACTTATATTCAGCTTCAAGACCAACACAGGATTTTAGCAACACAGGATTTTAGCTTGATTCCTAACTTCTTAGCACTGTTTGGAATCATGGGAACCCAGGGTAGTTATCCACTGAGGGCTGCATAGCTCCTGCAATGCCAGATAGGTAAAAACAGGCACTGTCTCCACTTGTCTGCTTCAGGATGCCACCTGATTAAAGACAGCCTGTGCAGCACAGCCAGCTGAGGTAGTGTGTGCTGGATCCCACTGAACTGGTATTTGAGGGAAAGAAAAAACACCCAAATTCACATTTGTCCTGGAAAGAACGCACAGATGACATGCACTCTCTGGTGTGGCATCAGGACCCAGTGGGACATTAAAAAATGTCAATGAGTTTAAAACCAAAAAGAGCTTAATGAATATTCATTAAATAAATGTCTTCAAATCAGTTAGCTGGTAGGAGAGGGTGTGACTGAATCAGATCATTAAAACCAAACAGGCACAGACACAACCACATTCAGGAACTATGGCATCTCGTACATTTCTTTCCACTTATTGTTAGGGCCGGGAGCGCACCAACAGGCTCCAGTTGCACTGATCAGCCTGTGACCATCCTTCTCTGCCACCCACCTTGCAACCCCTTCCCCAAGCTGAGAGGCTTAGCTGCCTGCTGCCAACCCTGGCCTTGCTTTGCCAACCCGATGTCTGGGCTGGGTGGTGGTCCTGCCCCGTCAACACAGGCCTAATGGGGTGATGGCCAGACTGTTGGCTGAACCCTGTACCACCCCTGGGCTACTTGGCTCATCTTGCGCAGGCACTCATCGTGGGCCCTCTGTGCCTATAGCTAAGCCACCTGGGAGCATTTAACAGTGAAAAGTAAGAGAAGTGCCAATTTTGAAATGACTTCTAAAGCCATCCGTTCTTTGCTCACCTAGTAGAAGAGCTAGGCACATGAGCATCTTATCCTCTGGCTAAATCTCTGGGAGTGTGTTGGTCTTCTGACAAAGTCAAGGAGCATCGGCTACTGCCTGTCTCCACCTGATCCATCCCTTGACCTGATGAGGGCTCCCCCAATGAAATCTGGCCTCCCTATAAAAACATGTCTACTCCTCCCTTCTTCTGCCAATAGTTATTTATGTAGGTCTTTGCATCTTCTTAAAAGACAAGCTTTCTTATTTTGCTCTAGGGTAGTTTTTTACTTGCCATTTACTGAGTCCCCTGAAACAATGTACATACTTTAAATTGTGCTATTATTAGCATTGTCCCAAAGAGCTTTATCTGGATCTGTGACAACAGATATTAACCTTGCGTTGCAGCCCTGTGATATAGGGCTGAGAGCATCATGTAAGCTGAGGTATTTTATGAAACAGCAATTTAGAAGTCATATGACAGGCAGACGCCACTAACCATCACCCATCTGTTGTATGTATGCAAAGGTGTATCTTTTTATCGAGGTAGTTATGGCAATGTAGTAGGTTTGGGTGTGATGCTTGGGGGTTATTCAGGATGTATGAAACTGTATTTTCTGTCTGGTTCTGTGCATTTAATTTGTAATGATCAGCTACTAAGGTTTTTAAATAGGGCACTTCTATGGTGTTTTCTATTTCTGATGAATTATTTGAAATTATTTATGCAAAGGCTCCTTCTTTGGACTGCAGGAATCTCTCAGGCTAAAGGCATCTGAGGAAGAACGCAAATAGGACTTGTATGATGCAAGGAAGTTTTCAAGTAAATGAAAATTAGATTCAGGAGCTACAAGGTCTTTGTGTTTATCTAGCAGCGTAAAAAACCCGAGTGGTTTAAGAAGAATGAATAGCATTTCCCTGGGGGAGATGACAGAAGAAAAGTGCAAGCAACACTACAGCTCACGCCATGAGCTTTACTTGTGGATTCCTTTATGATTCTCTTTTGGGGTTGTTTTTTGGGGGTTTTTTTTGGTTTTTTTTTCCCCTAAGGGTACTTGGAAAGGCTGGGACTTGGAAACCTGAAGTTTACTGCAAGCACACACAGAGTGCTTTTAAGGATGATGTTCTCCCTCTTTCTCTGTCCTGTTTTCCTGACCACCCTTCTGTTGGCTGATTTGCAGTTTTAAAACTTGAGAATTTTCTCCTTACATGCAGTTCCTTCTTTTTTCACAGCCCAGTGCCAGGTGGCTTAGTATTCCCTCTACTTTAATTATATTTGTCAGCCTTATTTAACATTGTAGCAAGAGAAATGCTCTTGCTATAGTATCTGAGTATCTTGACAGATGGCAACAAGGGAATTCTTCAGTACTTGTGAATTAGTTTGATATCACCTGACAGTGAGAGCTTACTTAGGGCATAAGATACAGGTTCATGACCACTGCACCAGCACAGCTATTTCTGCTGCTGGTATTCCATGTAATCACCATATGCAGTAGATATCTATCTGGTTGTGTTTGTATCTTAGCATGAAATTCAGAAAAATCCTCAAGAAAAAGCTGAGCACCATGTCCAGATGGCAATGAAAACCTTCTCTGGTTGCCAGATTATTGTAAAAGAGGATAGTTCTTGCAAGAGTAAAGCACACAGCTGTGGCAATGCTTCAAACCATTGCTGGTTCAAGGCAAGAGATGGCAACATTTCTCATCTTGTTTAGATTTCAGAAAGACAGTCTTTGTGACAGCTGGCTTCTTACTTAGGTACCTCTGCAGTTGCCCTAGATTTACATAAAGGTTATTTAGATGTCTGGAAAGGGTTTGGAAGGACTGAAAGAATATCAAATAGCAGAACTGTGCTGAGTACTAAATCTAGTCATTTTGTGGTGAGAACAATTACCAAGAAAGGGCTTAGGCAAATGCTGGAAGAACAGAAATGTGTTGCTGTATGGTCAGTTTGGCCTCTCTGCATTATAGTCAGAACATGCTGGAAAGCAGCTAAAAAGGGCATACCTGAACTGGACACAGGTAGATAGTATTGCAGCAGATCTCATAATATATATGACGAACACACAATTCAGTGGAAAGTAATAGTGCCATAAACCAACAGAATGGTGTAAGTCAGAAGCAAAAAAAAGATCTAAGGGTTTTGAATCCATCTTCTGCTAGTGGAGGACTGGTCCCAGCAGTACATTTTCTCATACATTGCCTACTCTGCTTTTAAATGCCCCATACAATAGTAGTTTCCACAATTTCCCTTGGGAGGAAGAGATGATGTTTAGTGACTCTCTTTGTCGGGAAGCTGCTGTTGGTATCCTGCCTGCTTTCCTTTTCACAGAATCATAGAATTGTTTAGGTTGGAAAAGACCTTTAAGATCATCAAGTCCAACTGTTAACCTAACCCTGCCACCCCGCCACTAAACCATGTCCCTAAGCACCTCATCTGCCCATCTTTTAAATACCTCCAGGGATGGTGACTCAACCACTTCCCTGGGCAGCCCGTTCCAATGCCTGGTAAACCTTTTGGTGAAGACATTTTTCTAATATCCAGTCTAAACCTGCCCTGGAGCAACCTGAAGCCATTTCCTCCTCCTCTATGAAAATGGCTTTGTCCTGGGCCAAGGAAATGTTTAATAGAGCTCTTTGTCAAGACACAGTCAATATCTTGATATGGCTGACTCCATAATTCTTCTTGCATGCATATTTAGCAGTTCTTGATGCAAACTCAGGATGGCATCACTCCAGATGTGAGCAAAGCAGAAAGAGCAGGGCTTTCTCTCCTATTCATACCATCCCTTCCAATGAGCTCCATGCCTGCATACACAGATACTTTAATGATTTGGTGTTTGGTACTTGACTGTTATCCACCAGCTCCTGGTTTAACTTATGGCTGACTCACCTGAGAAATTTGCATTCCTGAGAAACCTACAGAGTACAAGGATATGTATACATAAGAGAATTTCACATGTGCGCTGTTTGCAACATTGTGCTCTGCTAAACTACCAGACCAAAATATTCACTAAAGCTTTAGTGACTCTTCATTACAAAAATTGTTATCCAGTCCTGAGAATACATTACTGATATTAGTGGGTGGGTCATGACCCAACAGCAGTAGTTTCACAGATTAATAATTTTTTATTATTACTGTTATTCATAGTGTTTCCAAAAGAATAACATAGTTCTGCTTACATTTTGAAAAAAATAAATTGGATTTTTCAAAAATTCACTACCAGTTAAGCAGAAGGTTGCTTCTAGCAGGTTTCTTCTGCAGGTGGAAGAAGATTACCAAATGGTAATCACGGACGTTACTGCAGAGTCATATATAAAGTTTAGACATTGTTTGAATTTTATGAGAATTTATCCAGTTCAAATGTTTCCATTTCTACATCTTTTTTTCCTATGTTGCTGTTATTATAAGAAACAGCAGGATTTCTAAAGAAATAAAATAGGCATCATTAGATTTTAATTACAATCAATTGGTAAGGTCACTAGCAAAGGCATTTATCAGCTGAGAAATAGAGTGCCTTTGAAATATTAAGTAAAGTACTAAACCTGTGGCTGAATGATTAACTGCTATTGAAAGTGTCTAATTTCTCTAAGTCTGCCATTGTGCTCAAAATCTTTCTCTTTCATTTATGGTGAAAACCTATGTCTCAATGAAGGAATGGCTTAATAAACTTAGCTGAGAAATGAGAATCATATACTACCTTCAAGTGTGTAACAAACAGCCATGTCAAGTTAACACTTATTCCCAGATTTGCAAAATTACAAAAAGAGTAGAGAAGTTATCAAAAATCTAGACAAAGTCAATAGTTTTGAAGTCTCACTTTAGAGGTTTTAATATGAACATTGGTACACATTGAAATCAAATTACACTCAAATGAATGCAAACTCAGAACAAATATTTTTCAATAATTTGTCTTCCAAAACAAACATTATCTTTTTTGTCATTCTTACCTGCAGAGGTTTTCACAATTTCTGAAGTATTTCTAAGACCCATAAAGTCAAACTGATAGAGCCTCCAAGACTTCTGGTCAGCAGCCTCCACTGAGTTTTTCCTCCATCTGTAAATCATTTCCTCTTTAGGATAGCCATCTAGAAATTTAAAATATATGTATATATTAAAAAATACATTGCATTTCATAAAAAAGGTACTGCAAAACAGTATCTGTTCACTGATTTAGAGCTATTTGGGAATACTTAAAGAGTTGTATGGCACACAAAAAAAGAGTCATAATACTGGCAAAACTATGATTTTTCAAAATTGTTTTTTTTCCAATGGAGAAAAATTCTGATTAGTTCTATCAGAATTAGATCTCTTCAGAGATGCAGTTGATTGTACCAAATGAGGTCCAGACAGAAGTATACTGCTTTGCAATATGCTCTGAAGGAGCTGTGCAAACTGATAGAATGTAAAAAAAGGGGTGGGGGAATAGGGGGGAGCATCAGTGTAGGATGTAAACCATTGAAAAGGACAGATTGTTTTAAAAGTGACAATAGTCCTAATGTAGTGTGTGTTACTGTACTTCTGAAATGAGCTCAAAAAAAGCAAATTTTTAATTAGTGTGGAATTTTAAAAGTGATTATGCAATCATATTTCTAAAGGCTGTGGTATTTAATGAGACATCACCTGATCTCTACAGCTGAAATAGCTTCTGAAAGTCTTTCTTTTGCAATTTAGCACTTAGTAGTCATAATTAATCCTCATGCCAATATTTAATTTCCTTTTTGTTAGAGAACGGCATTTTCCAATAGAAGTCCAATAACAAATCTTCAACCAGCCCAAACCACAATAATAGACCATCTAGAAAGCAGCACGCCCGTGCTAGTTAAAACTAGATTGTTCTCTAATGCATAATACAATAAATGCTTATTCATCTAATAACTAATATAGTAGATGTAGATTACAAGGCAAATTAAAAGCCTCACAACAACAATAGCCAGTTAATATAACTGTCTCAGCTGTAACTGGATACAGATAAATTTTGATATTTGCATTACAAAACAACTTCTCTGATCATGATGCTATTTTCTTGATGTTTTTCTCCTATAAGTGTTGTCTTCATCTTGTTTAAGGTTCCACCCTGCTGGGGCACTGCTATAAGGTGTGCATGACCTCATTTATCCCTCTCACTAACACAGTAGGAAAAGTACCCACCAGTCCCTCAGTTCTAATCTGTAGAAAATGACTATGTGTTAATTCAAAATGCCACATTCATATATTTCCCATCAATGTAAATAAAGAAATAACCCATGAAGGACCCGACTGAGTAACAAACGCAAGCTATGCCATTCTCCATGAGAACTCTTGCTGCCAAGTGGATTTCACTGCCAATTCTGCTGTGCCAGTCTGTGAGATTGATCTAAAGGTTAATTTTTTTTGGCTGGCAGATTATGTCAGAGGATGCAAAGGCACAGTGAAAGAAGTCAAGCTTCGCAGGGCCTCTGAGCCTTAGCCCTGTATCTTCTGAAACTTTGCCCCTATTTGCTTGAGCCCTCTGACTACATTTATGACTGAATAATGTCTTCCTCTAATGGAAAGCCAAACATTTAATCATAGAATCATGGAATTGTTTAGATTGGAAAAGACCTTTAATATCATCAAGTCCAACCATTAACCTAACCCTGCCATCCCGCCACTAAACCATGTCCCTAAGCACCTCATCTACCCTTCTTTTAAATACCTCCAGGGATGGTGACTCAAGAACTTCCCTGGGCAGACCGTTCCAGTGCTTGACAACCCTTTGGTGAGGAATTTTTTCTGAATATCCAATCTAAACCTCCCCTGGCACAACTTGAGGCCATTTCCTCTCATCCTATCACTTGTTACCAGGGAGAAGAGACCAACCCCCACCTTGCTACACCCTCCTTTCAGATAGTTGTAGAGGGTGATCAGGTCTCCCCTCAGCCTCCTCTTCTCAAGGCTGAACAACCCCAGTTCCCTCAGCCGCTCCTAGTAAGACTTGTGCTCCAGGCCCCTCACCAGCTTCATTGCCCTTCTCTGGACACGTTCCAGCAATGCAAGATCTTTCCTTAGTGAGAGGCTCAAATCTGAACACAGCATTCAAGTTGCGGCCTCACCAGTGTGGAGTACAAGGGCACAATCACTTCCCTGCTCCTGATGGCCACACTATTCCTGATAAAAGCCAGGATGCTGTTGGCCTTCTTGGCCACCTGGGCACACTGCCAGCTCATGTTTAGCCAGCTGTCAGCCATTACCCCCAGGTCCTTTTCCACCAGGCAGCTCTCCATCCTCTCTTCCCCGAGCCTGTAGCACTGCATGGGGTTGTTGTGACCCAAGTGAAGGACCCAGCACTTGGCCTTGTTGAACCTCATACAGTTGGCCTTGGCCCATTGATCCAGCCTGTTCAGATCCCTCTGTAGAGCCTTCCCACTCTCCAGCAGATCGACACTCCCACCCAACCTGGTGTCACCTTCAAACTAACTAAGGGTGCACTTGATCCCCTCATCCAGACTGTTGATAAAGATATTAAACAGAACTATCCCAAATTCTGAGCCCTGGGGAACACCACTTGTGGCCAGCCGCCAACTGGATTTAACTCCATTCACCACAACTCTTTGGGCCTGGCCATCCAGCCAGTTTTTTTACCCAGTGAAGTGTACACCTGTTCAAGCCATGAGCAGCCAGTTTCTCCAGGAGAATACTGTGAGAAATGGTGTCAAATGTTTTATTAAAGTCTGGGTAAACAACATCCACAGCCTTTCCCTCATCCACTAAGCACGTCAGGTTAGTCAAGCAGGACTTGGCTTTCAGGAGCCTTCTCAGATTGGCTTCATTTTTGGGGACTCTGACTGTTCAGGAAGAAAAAAGCATCAGATGGCCTCTTTGTCATGCCACGGCTGCTGCATCGTCATGCCATGTGGCAGTGGCAGAGCCACACCTTCCCCACAAAGCAGTATCAGGACCACAAGGGGGGATGCCATGTGGTCTGGGTCCTAATCTTACCTGCTGCTTTGCATCCTGATAATGGAGGAAAGGAAACCCTTGCGCTGTTGCACACTCTACACCAGCTCCCACTGCAGAACTTGTGGTCTCAAGTGCCATTTTGCAGATTTTGTAGCAGACAGTAGATGGGACCCCTTTTTTCAGGGAAATTTCACCATAATCATTGCAAGTAAAACTGTTTCAAAAATCCCAGAACTAAAAAAGATTTTATTTTTTTAATACATAATTTTAAATTGATCCAAAATGAACTTTTAATGGGTTTTTTCCCAAATTTTACCAAAAAAATTGTGTCAATTAGTCTTGAATACAATTTCTTCCCAATTTGTTGGCTTTTTTTTCATCCCATGGCCACCCCACCAAAAATCCATTTCACTGACAGTAAGCTTGAAAGCTTGCTATCATATTATCCAAAGCACAGCTGTTTATCCTGGCATGAAGAGCACGTAGTCAGGAACAAGTTCATAAGACTCCCATCCTTCGGGATTTTTCCTGTATTTTTGACTAAGAAGAGACAGATTCAATTTCAGAATAACTACTTTCAGTATTGTTCATCATCATTAAATAGTAAGCAATTGACTTCAGGAGACCATCATGCCCTTTCAATAGCAGTCCCCTTAATCCACAGCCACTGACATCTGCTCTTGCCATGGGTGGGTTCCTTACATCAGAGGAGATAAGTACTAGTGATTCAATGGGAGTTGTTTCAACCTGTTAAATAACTGCTATTATGTTCTGCTCCAGTGCCAGGTGACTTCACTTTTCAATTAATTTAAAAGGTATAATATTTCTTATGGAATAACAGACACATCTAGTTGGACAGTATATCACTCCTAGGATTCATTTAACTTACAGAATGGACTATTCATGATGGTTCTTCTTTCAGTGATATCTAATATATCTTGTATACCACCTAATTGCTTCTAGCCCTCTAGATTCTTAATTTTAGAAAATATCAGAACTGGAGACTTCAGTACTTCCAGAAGAAAACACAACCTCTGCTGTTTAGCCTGCAATATGAGTGTATTGTCTATAGAAATGTCTGTTTTCCTTCACTTCCCCATCATGAAAGATGGCAGTAAATTGCCTTAAATTCTTAACATTGTGGCTTCAAGTCATCCACACCAAACAAATTGCTAACCTCGTCAGCTTGCTTTAGAGTATGAAAGAGTTTCCATACTGCAGCAGGGCAAGGGCTCCAGGAGGTCCTGGAGACTTTCCAGCAGGTGCTGGTAAGACAGAAAGGGAGACAGCATGGGAAGAAGACAACCATGACAACTAAGTGTGTGTTCTCTGTTACACACAATCCAAGATCTGGCAACCTGCAACTCAGGAGCTTCTCAACCAAAGTCTCTGTCAAGACCTTCATTTTCTTTCCCATGAATTTACTTGATTGCCTTTAAATTCTGCTATTTTTTGGCCTGATGGTTGTTTTGTAGGCTGTGCTGTAGCTATTTGCATCTTCTGCAGGGTTTAGTTTTATATACTGCTATGTCACAGACTTTTAAAGACCACCTTGAACATTTGGCTTTTTGTAAGACTGGTACTACATGACTTTGTAGAACAAGTCAAGAACAATGTTGGTTGAAGTTATTTCTGTAAGAGCCCAGTTGAAAGTATCCATGTAATACCTCCTGTTTACTTTCACCAAACATACTTGATGGCCTTTCCAGTTAACACAAATTATTGGTATCTTTGTTGCTTTACTCATGGGCTTTAACATATACATTTTCAAACTGTACCACTGATTTTAACTCCAATAATGCAAACAAGGATAAACAATAAATGCACTTTTTGATGTTTTGGAGGTGAACCTATTATAACAGAAAGGCAAATTGTCATGACAACCTATGAGATTCTGTGGATTTTGTTTTATTTCCTTTTTGTTACTGGAATAATTGAACTCATGTTACCACATCTTCTCAGACCGCCACCATATGATTTATAATTATCAGGTTAAAAAAAGGTAAACTCCCATCTTCATGTTCATACTGCTTCACTTTTTAGGGAGACTGAGATTTCTACAGAAGCCTCCACCAAACTGCTGAAAAAATGATCAAGGCCAGAAACATCTCCAGGCTGGATAAGAAGCATACGCAGTCACAAGGTAGCCATGAGAATTGGTGTGAAG